GGAAGTAGAGCATCCAGTTTCCGAGGGACTTCAGGGTGTCGGGGGCGAGCTTCCTCCAGATGTTAGGGATCTGCCCGATGAAGAGCGACCGGGCGACGTCGTCCAGCTCGCTGCTCATCCCAACTTCTCCCGCCAAGGCCTGCGTACGGAGCCCGGCTCTCAGGGTGGACGGCCAGGGCGGCGGGCGCTGCGCCCAGGAGGGGACCCAGGCGGGGACGTGCCCACGGGGACCCGGCCACGCTCACCCTTTGCAGCTCGGCCAGGGACCTGGCCATCCGGAAGACCAGCTTGTTGAAGCGCTCCAGCTCCTGCAGGAGCACCACCGACGTGGGGGAGATCCCCAGCCCCAGGTGCTTCCGCACCTGCTCCAAGTCGAAGACCTGAGGCATCTTGTTTTCGATGTCCTTGGCCACCTGGCCAATGTAATCGTCTCGGCTGATGCCAGTGCTGGAGTCCCCTGAAACCGGGACGCGGTTCAGGAGAGTGGCGCATGCGCGTGTGGCCTGGGGCCTCCTGGCCCTCCCGCTCCTGGCAGGTCGGCCTGGGCGATCCGGGAACTCAGCGCCAGCAGCCGCGCTCTGTGCCAGCGCCCCCTGCCCTGAACCGATGCTGCCCGCTGCAGACTTTACCGGTCTGGGGCTGCAGCTCCAGCAGGTGGGCCCACATGTCCCGGGCCGCCTGAGTGTAGTACCCAATCTCGGCGTTGGAATGGAGACCAAACACCTCGGGTGTGTTGGCCAGCGGGAGGGCCTCGATGGCTTCTGCGGTCACAGAGGACAAAGAGAGGCTACACATCGTGCCGCCCTCGACGTCGGAGGGCCCACGGGCTCGACACCCCCAGACATGCAGGGCTCATTTCCACTGCTTGGCGGGTGACATTTTTAAGTGAAAATTCTACCCCATCCTGGTTGATGTGTCTCTCTTAGGAAAATGGCTCAGTGAGCGTCCTGGGGGCCGCTCTGCCCTTCTGGGCAGAGTCTGAGATGTCAGCCGTTGTGCCAGGACAGAGAGCTGAACCAACCCCACCAGCTCGGAGGCGAGGACGAGGGCTGGGCCACCAGCGGAGTAACGGGCCACGCCCACCAGCCACCGACCCACCCCCACCCCGGGAAAGGCGTCGAGGGCCGACAAGCCAACCACAGAAACCGGAACAGCCGCAGTGGACGGTCTCCCTCAGAAACGACTTTCCAGCCGCTCCCCGACCTCTGAGAAATCTCACCGACGAACTTCTCCTTCACGTCACCCACGGGGATTTTATAGTCCACCTCCTTGTTCCGGAAGAAGTGGAACGGCTGGAAGGTGTCGAAGATGAAGTCCCCCAGGTACTCGTCCATGTACGTGGTCAGGATGCGCCGGTCGAAGCTGTCGATGGCTCGCCCGCCGTACATGACCTGGAGCCACAGGGAGTGAGCGGCCGCTTTGGTAGCAGACAAACTAGCTAAACAATGACCAAAGAAGCCAGCAGCCACTTTTGTCTCTGGAATCGGCGATGTCATTGTTGGAGCCACGTGTAGGCCACCAGGGGAAGCCTTCCTACGAGCCCGGTACGCGGTTATAGTCTCCAGAGTGGACCCCCACGTCCACCCAGCAGGGGCCACGGTACCCGACATGCCTGAGGCGTGGCCAGGGGCGTTGCCCACTCCTGGCGGCGAAGCCAGACCCTCCGTGTGGAAAGTACTCACTTGGGACAAAGCCGACTGGGTGAGGAGCCAGGGGTAACTCGCAGAGACCTGGGGCCTCCGGCTGACGGGCAAGGGGAGCACGAGGGGAGCCACTGGGGGCTCCGAGGTCACGTACAAGGGCGCCAGGTCACGGCCCCGCTTCAGCCCCGGGAGGCAGCCCGCAGAGGAGCCCCCGAGACAGCCCTACCTCTCCGATCAGGTACTTGAGGCTGCCCCACGGGATCCGAGGGTCGTGTTGCTGGAAGGCTTTCGTTAAGTACGTGTTCAGAATTTCCATGCAGACCTGAAGAGGAAGGAAGAGGCTCAGTCACCCTCAAACCTCGCAGCCATCGGCATCCTGACCCTTGCAGAGACGCGGGCTCAGTCGCTCGGCACAGCGGGTGAGACAAGCCCACGGGTAGGGGGAAGCGGTGGCGGCCGCATCTTAACCTGGAAGTCCGACTCATTGAAGTCGTAGTACACATTCCACCCGATCTTCCCGAACTTTCTCCTCTCCTGCACCACCGCGTGGAAAAACGCCAGCACGTAGACCAGGGTCTTGAAAGCAGGGTGCGGGCACTGCTCCAGCAGGTCGTGGGAGATCTTGAAGTAAGTGGCCCTCAGGTTGAGCTTCAGCCCGTTGGGTGGCTCCGTGACAACCTGTCGGAGGAGGAGAAGGCAGACCGTGACGGACACCGCAGATCCGTTTATGGCTTTGAGGAGCATGCAAAATGGGGACCTCCTGGCTTTTCCTTCATCCTCACACAGTCGTCTGCCCTGTCCCCAAACAGCAGAAGCCTCTCGTCAGAGACCCGGGAGAAGAAGTTAAGGAACTGGATGTCCTCGCTCTGCCACTCACTCGTCAAATGGCCCAGGGAAGGTTCTTTAACCTCTTGCAAACAGGAAATGAAAGTGGCTACGTTTTCCCTCTACCTGCCCCAAGACAGATGACAAAACCTTTCCAAAAAAAAATTCTCTAGAGAGTAAGTTAAATGGGGCATGAAAACCGCCCGAAGCGTCTGCGCAGACCACCAGCGTAGTGCAGGCTGCGGGCGGGCCCAGCGCTGGAGACAGGGAAGGTTAACAAATGCAAAGTACAGGAAAACTAACGCAAACGTTGTTCTGGGTCATGCACACGTGGTGAAGACAGGCCTGGGGTCGCAAGGACAGTGCTTCCCTTTGAAGAGAGGGAGAGATGGAATTGGGAAGGGGTGTCCGCGAGGGTCCAGCCGTATCCTATGTGGCTTCTAAACACACACACAGACACACGCACACACGCCGAGGCGGCAGTGAGCGAGCGACTGGGCCGCGGGCACAGCGCTGGGTGTCCCGCAGCCACACCTTGAGGGACTTCTGCAGGATCCCGATGGGGAAGCCCTTGGTGGGGTCGGTGGTGAGCCACAGGCGAAAGTCTGGGTGGGGCTTGGTGATCCTCTCCAGGGCCTTCTCCAGGTCCTTCAGCCACTTGACCAGGAGGTGGCAGTTCTGCAGCATCAGCCACTGCCCGCGAGCCACGGCGGTCTCCAGCAGCTGCAGAGCCACCTGCACCGGTGGAGAGAGAAGGGACGGGTTGGTGTGCCCAAGCCACGCCAACCCCGTGCTTGCCCCGAGACCCTCTCCCAGCCCCCAGGAGGGCGATGGCCCACTCCAGCCGGTGACCCAGGAGCCACGGAGGGCGCCTTCGAAGACAGGGTCCTCAGAGTGCCTTCGGGGCCGCCCGTGTCCGCTGGGCCGGTCCGGCCTGAAGGTGAGGGCCCACACTGCACTCGGTGGCCTCCCTCGGCCTCACCGCTCCACCCTCTCCGACAGGGCCGCACTCGCCCCCTGACCGCCCCCTCAGCTGGGCAGCGAGAGCCCAGACCCCCAGCGGGGTGCCAGGAGGACCAGAGATCACAGTGCAGTGCAGCTGCCTTTGGGAGCAACAGCACGCAGCGGCCCCGTGGGGCTGGGCAGTGCTGGCCGCCGGGTGCGGGAGGCCGCCTGCTAACATGGTCTTCGTGCTGGCATCTGGCTGCCGTGCCGGCTGCCGTGCTGGATCCCGCAAGTGCGTGGCACGCGTGCGTGGGGCGGCACGGTGCGCTCAGAGCCAGACGTCAGCATGTTCCTGACAGAGGCCAGGGGCCTCCCCAAATGGAGGGCTCGTCCCTTCCGACAACAAATTACCTTTTCTTGACCTTGACCCATGGCGAGGAATTTGAGGCGGTTTCCCCCAAAACCACTGCGCTCGGCTAATTTCATGAGGTCACTGGCGGGGTCGGACCCGGGGCTGAGGATGAACACTATGGGCGAGTTCGGAGTGCTCTGCTCGAAGATGGCTTCAAAGCTGATCATCGGGGGCTGCACGTACCTGGGGAAGGAAAGGTTCCCTCAGAGCTGGGAACTCCCCGGAGGCCAGTGCCCGCCGCTCCCGTGTCCAGCGCGTTCAGACTGTCCCTCTGCTGGGCTCTTTGCAGCGGCCTCCTCGTTTTAGAATCCGGTCTGTGCACATCTTGCACGCTGGATGAACTCTGTACCCCTCCAGCCCAGCTTGGTACCCAAGCCCCGTGGGCTTCAGAAGATCTGCACTGAGCTGGGTGACTCCTGACAGGGGGCCTCTGGGCACAAAAGCCAGAGGTTCCACAGTGACATCCACAGGCATCCTGAATGGCTCTCATCTCAAGACTTTAAGAAATTAGTTGCCAACACATAAGGATTGGGGGAAATCCAAATTTTGATCATCTTCTGAAGAACCAGAGGACCTGGGTCCCCATTGCCACCTGGGATCGGTCAATAGCAGTTAAGCTGACCAGGACTCGACCTCTCCAGTCCCCGCCCAGTTTTGTTCACTCATTCCCACCACGGGCCAGCTGCAAAGGCATGCATGAGCGCGACCCCACGCCATCTGTCTGGCTTCGCCCGCGGGTCTAGAGTACCTCGTCCCACCACTGAGCACCTGCAGTGAGATGTGCCGTGTGAATCCACACAGCATCGCAAAGCCTTAATACCCCCCGAAAAGTATGCCAGATATTACTTATTAAAGTAATATTCCAATATAATGAGTTAGATACAATATGTTATGAAATTTTATTTTATCTCTTTCTTTTTGAATGCGGCTACTAGAAAACGTGAAATTACCTACGTCTCTCACGCTGTATTTCTCTCAACTAGCTCTGTTCTAGGGTGGCTCTCCAATAATGCTCCAAGACAGGGCTGTGACAGTTTTCTCCAGAGCTGGCCAGCCACTGCTGTCTGTGAGTCCAGGGGGGGATGACCCCGCAGAAAGGGCCAAGCAAACGTAAACGACACACTTACTTCTCTCCCATTGTCACAGTCACATAGTCGGTCACAGCCCGATAGACCCGATCCACGCGGAAACAACGCAAAATAAGCAGCTTCTGGAAAGGGGTGATGTTGTCATCGTAGCCCAAGGGGAATGGGGACTGCTCAAGCGAGTCCAGGTCATACCACTGGGAAGAGCAAAGGACACTCATGGTGGCATCAACGGTATAATGATCCAGGCCCCCATTTTTACGTGAAGGTCCCAAAAGCCGCTATACAGAGGTGGAATCTATAGAAGTATGAACATCAGGGCCACTTCTAGTCAGATCTGTCATTTTCTACCCCCCAAAACTATGCAGCTCAGGAAAGGAAGGTCTGATTGTCATTCACTGTTGGGTCTCCAGTGCCCATCAAGGGACATGGTCCATGGCAAATGCTCAATAAATATTTCTTGGATGGATGGATGGATGGATGGATGGATGGTGGATGGACGGATGGACGGACGGATGGACGGACGGATGGATGGATGATGGATGATGGATGATGGATGGATGAGATGATGGATGATGGATGGATGGATGGATGATGGATGATGGATGGATGGACAGGTGGATGGATGATAGATGGATGATGGATGGATGGATGACGGATGATGGATGGATGAACAGATGGACGGATGATAGATGGATGAGGGATGGATGGATGAACGAATGGATGGATGGATGATGGAGGATGGATGGATGGATGACGGATGATGGATGGATGAACAGATGGACGGATGATAGATGGATGAGGGATGGATGGATGAACGAATGGATGGATGGATGATGGAGGATGGATGGATGGATGACGGATGATGGATGGATGAACAGATGGACGGATGATAGATGGATGAGGGATGGATGGATGAACGAATGGATGGATGGATGATGGAGGATGGATGGATGGATGACGGATGATGGATGGATGAACAGATGGACGGATGATAGATGGATGATGGATGGATGGATGAACGAACGGATGGGTGGGTGGATGGATGGATGGATGGATGATGGATGATGGATGATGGATGATGGATGGATGATGGATGGATGGATGAACAGGTGGACGGATGATAGATGGATGATGGATGGATGGATGAACGAATGGATGGATGGATGAACAAACGGGTGGGTGGGTGGATGGGTGGATGGACGGATGGATGAGTGGGTGGGTGGATGGATGGGAAGATGGACGGACGGATGAACAGACAGGCGGATGGATGGTTCTCTCACAAAACCATCTGAGCTAGATAAAGGAGAATCCCATTCGTGGAGCTAGAGGGCACTGACCACACTCTGGATCGCTCACAGGGATGTCCCCGTGCACGAGGACGGAGGCTACAGGTTAACCTCGGAGGTCACTGACGTGCGGGGAAGGGAGGGAGGAGCGAGAACACGCGCTCACCTCCTGCCAGACGGACGGGTGTTTCTCCACATCGTCAGGAAGATGCTTGAAGTTATCCGGAAACATTTCCGATAAAAGAATGATATCTTCCCATCCCTGGTCAGACAGCCAAGCGCAGGGCTTTTTTCGTTTGCTTTTCTCCAGGGAAATGTTTCCTAATCACGACAGAAGAAGAGTCAGCAGCCGACTCCGGTGGGCCAGGAAGCGTAGGCAGCTCTGTACTAGGACGTCCCTTGCTTTGGGGAACGATCCACTGGAAAGACAGGGGGGCATAGGCTTCCCACGTCACCGCCTGTGACTCCCGCCAGCCACTCAGCGTGGCTTCCAGCCTCCGGGCAGGGCAGCCTTTGGCCTAGACCGGTTGCTCTGAGTCAAACCAAAACCGTTTCTGAGGCCAGAGTTGTCCATTGAAACATTTAATTAAAAAAGTGCTGTTGGAAGCCGAGTTCTAGGAGAATCTCTGCTGCTGTTTGTTTTAATGAACGCACTCGTATACGTGTGCGATGTGGGTCCCGGGAGTCGGGAAGAATGAAACAAGGCAAATTCATTACCTTTTAAGAAGAACTCTAGTTCTTCCTGGGGGACTCGCCCTTCTGCTTGTTCTATCTTGATAGTCATATTGAACGAAAAGAGTAACTTGTGGCTCTCAAACAACCCTGAAGAGAAACGACAGATGGATACTGATTTTAAAAATTCATTTTTAAAACTGAGGTTCTGGGGCACGACCTGCTTAGATTTAGAGAAATGGAACACCCAGCCCGCACGGTTGCGTCGAGCCCTCGCTACGGCGATGTCCACGGCCATCTGAGTACAAAGAACACGGGCCGCATTTACACGTCACGCCCAGTGTTTATACAAGCGGGTGTGGCTGTGTTCTAAGAAACCGTTATTCGTAAAAGCAGGCGGTGGGCCGGGGTGGCCTGCTGGCCCTGGCTTGCCCATCCCTGCCGTGGAGTGAGCACGTTCCATCCGCGGACGCTGCTGCTGGGGACACACACACTGGAGTTGTTGTGTTTGTTTTTTTAACAGAAGAAGCGCATTCCTGGAAAAAAGTTGTGTAAGTCACAATTTGCGATCTGAATTCTACTTTATGTGTTGGGAAGGTTGGCTACTTACGTGAGCCCTGTGGGAGCGACGGCCTCGACCTTTTCCCTGCCCGGTTGGTATGGGCTGAATTATGTCCCCCGCCCACCCCCCGCCACCACCAAGTCCATGGGGCAGCCCTGAGCCCAAAGACCTCAGAATGTGACTGTCCTTGGAGGCGGGGCCTCTAAAGAGGCGACGGCATTAAAACGAGGCCGTCAGGTGGGCCCTGGTCCAATCCGACCCATCTTCTTCCTTGTAAGAAGAGGGAGTTCGGACCCAAGACGGCAGGGCGCCCAGGCCCAGAGCACATCTGACCGGTGGACGGGGAGAGGCGCTCACCTGTGCAGCCGTAGTTATAGATGTTGAAGGTCAGCGTGTCCATTATGTTCCTTAACCGCTTCATGAGAATGGAGTCCGGCAGCGACTTCTTCAGTGAGAACCCGAAGACTTCGAGGAAGGCGTTCAGCGAGTACTGGTACATGGCATTCACGAGCGCCATCTCGGACAGCACGAAGAACAGGATGGCCCCCCGCCTGGCGGCCGGCCGGTAGCCGTCCCGCAGCCTGTCGATGTCCAAGGCCGTCTTCTCCGCCAGCTTGAGCTTCTCCGACACCTGAAGGAAAGGTGCGCGTCGCCACAGAGACTGGAAGACTGTGCCGTGGGCGGAGGGCAGGAGGGGGAGGGGCAGCGAGGCAACCCACACAGTGCTCACAGGGGCTCGGAGGCCCCTCTCACGAGACGCGGTGGACAGCAGCAGCCTGACCCCCTGCCCCCGTGCCCCCTTTTCCTAATGACAGTCCCTGACTTTTACTTGGAGACTCGCAACATCCCCCTTTCATTCCGTATTGGGGGGCTCCACCCCAACTCCAGGATGGCATGTGGCCCAGGCCCAACCAATCCACGCACAGCACCCCCAGGCCATGGGACCGTTCGCGGGTGGACACGTGACTTAAGTCGTTCGCGGGTGGACACGTGACTTAAGCGACTCTCAGGACCTTCACAATAGAGACACACAAAGGTGCTCATGCTTCCGTTTGGACTTAAACCTGAGGGGACAGGAGGCCAGACCCATCCTGGGACCATGAGGGGAGCTTGGCTCCATGGGGAGGCGGGGGATGAAGCCAACCCAGCAGAAGGCCCAGCCCAGAAACGGACAGAAATCGAGTCTCGATCACGTGCTTGGAGTCCTGAATCCAGCCCTCCCTGAAGCCATCCTGGACTTCCCTGTGTTCTAAGCTGACAAATCCCTTTGCACTTAAGCCAAGTAGGGCCAGGTTTGCTATTACTCTCAACTGGAGGTGGCCGACCTGATGCCCAGGGGCGCGGGAACACCTTGAGGACCCCCCTCCCGCAGCACGCCCGGCAGAGCGGCCTTCTCTCACCAGCAGACCCCCAGGTGACCCCGAGCCGGAGCCGGATGAGCACACGGGCCGAAGTCCTCCCGCCCCCACCCGACGCCGAACCCCCGCTCCCCAGACGGGGACCGCGGACGAGGCCGTGAGGTCGCGGGTTCCCCCTCCCCCGGCGCGGCGCCCTTCCCATGCAGCCGGCACCTCCATGGCTTTGGACTTGGTCTCCTCCAGGGTGTGCACCAGGTCCACGTTGTCCAGCATGTTGCCCGTGGAGGTGGCTAGTTCCCGGAGGAGGGAGTCTTCCAGATCCTTCAGCAGGTTCTTGTTCTCGCTCGTCTCCTGGATGAGGTGCTCCCTCTGCTCCTCCAGCTCGTGTCTCTCGTAGGCCACCAGCACGCTCAGCAGCTGGTCCTCCAGGCCCTTCAGCGTGACTGCGAGGGAACGAGGGGAGGCCCTCACTGCTGCGTCCCCCCGACGGGCTGGCCATTACATCCTCTCCTGGGGCGAGCCGCGGGGCAGTTTGAGCCAGCCTTTTGGGAACAGGTCTCACGCTTCCACCAAAATCGCTCTAAAGCCACAGGGTGGGAAATGTCAGGACAAAGTGGGGACGCTGGACAGAAAGAGCAAAGATGCACGAGCACACCCCAAACTAATGAACCTGTTTCAGGACCCGCATGACAGCACCAGAAAATTCGAGAAACGGCATTCGATTCCTAATAGAATTCAGTCCAGAGAAAAGGGAGAATCACGCTCATGCCACACATTGAAACAGAAATACAGAAGTACGTCCTGCCCCAGCAGAGAGGGGTCTCACCCCGTGCCCGCCCCCTGGTCCGGACTCAGCCGCGCCTCTGACACGTCACTCATTGACCTCCCGGGTGCTGCTTCACCATTAACAACTGGCCAGTTAAGGCGCGACTCAGAGAGAATGAGCCGAGGTCACTGAATGCAGCGACGTCCTGGTGAAGCCTCGTTCACCTGCCGTGGTCTCCGCGGCAACCACCTTAGTTTGCCACCGCGGCTCCGTGGACCCTTACCCGTGTAGTTGATCACCATGGCCTTCCCGAACACGGACGGGGAGTAGCTGGGGTTGGCCAGCTTGGTGTTCAGATAGAGTCTGAAGTTGGAGTCATAGTCCACTTCCTTGTCGCCCAGGATGATGAACGGCCGTCCTTGGGAGACGCGCACGTTCTTCTCCAGGACGTTGTCGATCACGGGGTCGATGTACTCGTCCACGTCGTGGAACAGGAAGGGCGTCCCGTACTTTATGGCCATCTCGAGCTGCTTCAGGAAGTCAGGGTCATTGAAGGAGGCGACCTGGGCGAGAGCGGAGGCCGATGCTGAGGGTCGTCCCTGCGCCGCGAGTGTGGCCTTCCCGCCATCTCTCGCTGGACCTCAGAAGGCGCCCAGACACGGAGCCCACCGAGACTCCGCTGTCACCCTCTTGTAAGCACCTCCTTCCACCTGGTGAGTGCTCTGTTATCCCGTCCCCGGAAATATCCGAAAAACTCTTTCTCTGCTCCAGCCCCCACCCCACCCTCTCCCTCTCTGTTACGACGCTGACTCGCTTAGCCCCTCTTCCCATAAAACGAACCCTCCCTCTTTAAGGGCCAGGATGGGAATCGGGGTGGCGGCTGGGGGCCACTGAGGAACATCGCAGCATTAATAATATTCGTCTTGCAGCTGTCTGGGAATCTCAGAGGCAGACGTTCCCCTGAGCTTAGAACACAAACAGGCTTCCCCCCTGGGAGCAAGGACCGGAACAAAAATAAGGAAAAGATAAAACGCAAAATCATGGATTGGTTGATTATTTCAGCAAAATGTGACTGGGCCCCAATAATTCACCCAAGAAAACTAAACACGTGTCCACAAAAACAAGTTGTACACCAACATTCACTGCAGCACTATTCACAATAACCAGAAAGTGAAAGGAAACCACACGCCCATCAGCTGATGGATGGATCCCGCGGTCCATCCACACAGCGGAACATTATTCAGCCATGAAAAGAAAATCCCTCTCTCCGCCATGGTCGAACCTCGAAAACATGATGCTTATGTAAAGGAGCCAGTCTCAAAAGGGAGGCCACATACTGTGTGAGCTCATTCACACGAATTGTCCAGAATAGGAAAATCTATAGACGGAGAGTAGATTGGTGGTCGCCAGGGCCTGGGGTCGGGCATAGAAGAATTGGGGGTAGGAAAGGTGACGGCTTGAGGTTACAGCACTTCTTTTGGTGATAAAAGTTGATTCTGGTGATGGTTACACAACTCTGTAATACACTAAAAATCACTGGATTCTGTGCTTTAAATGGGTAAATCGTATGGTATGTGAATGGTATCTCGATCAAGCCCTCTCCCCGGCCCTTCCAAAAAAAAAAAAGCGACCAAGCGTCTAAGGCCACCGATCCCTGTGCTGTGCGGGGGACACAAAGATGAGCAAAGCACGGTCTTTGCCTTCAGGCCGCTCACAGCCTGAGAGGCGCCGCACACGCCAAGAGCAAAGCCGAGGCCAGATGGTTTGTTCTGCCCCTGGGACTCGACAGGGCGGGCTGGGTGGGGGCCCCACAGGAGCTCAGGGTGGTGGCATTCTGGCTGGGCGTTGCTAGAGCCTGAGAGAGCTGGGGAGACAGGGCAGGAGAGCTGGGCTGTGCCCTGAGAAGGGGCAGGGAGGGCAGAGGGCGCCGGGGCGAGGGCGGGGGGACTGGCTGTACCCGAAGGTTGTTTTTCTCCTCCTTCCTCTTTATCCAGTTGAGGGCTTGCTGCTGGGGGTCGATGCAGAGGGGGAAGCGGCTGGCCCGGGTGGTGAGGATGCCGTTCTGAATGGAGAGCTCATCGGGGGGCAGTCCCTGGGAGCCCCACCTGGAAGGGGCAGACCCAAAACATCCAAGTTGTGAATGAAGGGTTAAGGGTGGCAAGACAGGCCTTCGTGAACAATCCTCCAATCCCTAGACTGCCCAGCCCTTCTCAGAGCCTGGCAACTGGACGTGCAGTGTACCCCACCATTTCTGGGCAGTCAAATCAGGTGCACCCCTCGTCCTCCAGGCCTGGGCCACACACACGCACCTGCTGATCTCAACGTCATCCGTGAGCAGGCTCTCTAATCGAAAGGGCTGGCTCAGGGGGATCGCCCGCTCCAGGATGTCGTTCTGCCACACCTGGCTGACCATCTCGTCACGGAACTCCCACGTGAAGGCGCCTTCGTAGCTCAGGAAGGCTGCGCAGAGCAGGCAGTCACCCAGCAGCTTCACCCGCCGGTGTATCAGCTCGTCCAAGTCGTTCAGCCACCTGGTGCAGGACGGGGGTGCTGCAGTGAGCGGTTACCTTCTGGCTGAATCTAAAGGAACATTCTAGAAGAACCGGCTCGACCCACTGTCGGGGGGGCCAGCCAGAAGGAAACATTTCTCACAGAGACAGAGACCGCCGGCTCGTTTTGCCACCTCCCTCCCTGTGTGCTCGATGTTTGGAAAGACTTCGTTCAGTCCTAGGCCTCGGCAGAGCCTGGCGTCTCATGGGGGCCTCGGTCATTGCGTGCGGGATGCATTTTGGCCCAAAGCTTTGTATTAAGTAGGGATCGCATTGTTCCCGAACGCTTAATCAATAACTTATAAACGCACCCAGCAGAGCTCATGAACTCTGGCCCTGCTTGGTGACAAAATTCTACCCAAGATATAAGAGAGCAGGTGTTTCAGGCGGTAAATGGCCAGAGTCTTCTAGGTGTTGGAAATACTGAGCACGGTTTGTTTCCCACAAGCGAACAATATTTTCTAGTGTTTTCCATACCACTCTTACAGGTGCCAGTTTAGAAACTATTGTCCTATCCAGTGGACCAGTTATGGCCAAGTGGTCTTGCTGAGAAGCATCAAACAGCCCCACCTACTTACGACAGAAGCTCGGGACTGAGCCAGCCACAAGTGTCCAGCGACAGAGGTGGGCTCCGGCTCCAGACCCATCCAGAATGGACCCAGGGTTAAAGGCCACCGAGAAGGAGAGTGGCCCGGGACTGCGGCACCTCGCAGGCCGGCGGCTTCTCCATAGTGGCACCGCCTCCTTCACCTATAACAGTCGCTCAATAAACAACACTCGATGGCTAACGAAACACTAAGAATCACCAACAGACTGGCCGTTAGCCGCCTGAAACGCGAAAACAGTACAATCGCAACGTTCCGCACGGTTTTCCGATAGAAATGGACACTGCACGTGGCGAGAACCCCTGCTGATGATGTATGTGCACGCCCAGAGCACCCAGTGTCCCCAGGAGCCACTTGTCAGCTGGGCGCGCGCAGCGAGCTGACCTGACGTTCTCAGACCCCAGCCCCGAGATGAGCTTGTCGGCCGCGATCAGCCGCCGCTCCATGATTTCGGCTTCCTCCTGCAGCTTCTGCTTCTCCAGGATGGCTGCCTCGTATTTGGCTCCCAAAGCTTCCAGCTCTCTCTGGATCGTCGCCAGCTCGTTCTGGATCCTTTCCAGCTCGCGCTTCGTGAGGTAATAGTTCCGCTCCAGCCTGGCCACCTACGTGAAGACGGTTTGCAGGTCTGTAGGGAGAAGGGCAGGGACCTTGGGCTGTCTCCACCCTGCGCTGCTAATGAGGGTCACGCTTTTGGGGGCCAGCACCTGCCAGTGCAAGGCACGTGGTCGCTTTCCTCAGTTACCTAGACAATGGTCTGCTGCAAAGGCCCCACATCCCATTGGGAAAAGATGTCCTGCGTCCGAGTGAGCAGGTGGTTTAATCTCAATGTGTGCCAAAGTCACAGGAAGAGGACGCTGTGGTTCTAGGTCAAAAACGCGAAGGAATGCTTCGGAGACAGCACTGGTCTCACTACTGGGTGCTCAGTTATCTTAGTAATAAAATTCCAAATTGCAGAGCAATGTCGAAACCTGGCTCCGAATGACAGTATCGACCTTGTAATTCTCTTCGCACTGTGGGTTCCGCATGTGGCTTTGACCCAGCAGTTCTCCACTGGGGCCGGGGCCGCCCCCCAGGGGACGTGGCAATGCCTGAAGACACTTTGGGTTGTTGGAACTTGTGGGAAGGAGCAGTGGCAAGGAGCGGACAGGGCCCAGCGGTGCTGCTGGACAGACGCCCTGCTGCGGGCACGCCAGGCCCCACGACGCGGCCCCGCCCAGCCCGAGCGCCAGCAGTGCCGAGGCCGAGAAACCCCGCTTTCGCCCTCGAGAACAATTTCGAACATCTTTTGTCCCATTCTTTTCGTACGGAATCTGGAAATCCTTCGAACTTGGGTGCTGTCCATTCCCGTCACGTCCAGACGAGAGCTGTAATTCGGGGGTATTATTTTTTTGGGGAGTGGGGGGAAGGAATCTTAATGTGACTTAAATTAGGACCTTGCCAAAATTCTCTCCGCAAAGCTGTGGACGTGTTAATTCGGACTCCAGATCGGCCTCTCAGCCGCAGCGCTGGGGTCTCACGGACGGGCCGTACCTTTTCTCTCTTGGGCTTGATTTCCCTGAAGACATCGCAGTAGCCCATCACGGCCTCGACGAACTTCAGCATGCCCAGGCCGGCCTTGCTCACGGCTTCCATTTCCTCGGTCGTGGTGTTGAGAGTCTTCAAAAGGACTAAAAACGGCCAGAGACACAAGGATTTCAGTGAGCAGCGAGCTCCATCGAGGCAAAATGAAATGGGAAAGCAGCTGCCTGGGCACGAGGTAAGTGTAACTGGTCCCTCACCCCTCTGCAACGGGACGCCCTGGGACGGGACCCCGACGGCTCTCCCCCCGACAGTGGGGAGGGGGCCGAACATGGATGAGTTTTGAGTAGAGGATGCTAAAGATGATGAGCGAGGGGCACAGGCTGCTGTCCCCCAGGACATCCTACGACCCGAGCACCTCTGTGTGATGACCAGCAGCCCTGGGGACCCCGGGGGTCAGTGGAGACCCCCAACTGGGCACTAAGGTGGCTGAGAGCAGGCAGTTAACCGGGAATCGTAGGCCATTATGGGTCTCGGCCACCTCTACCCGCACCCTCGTCCCCAGAGCAATGTCACGTAAACGAAAAACCGTGCCATCGAAATAAATGTGGGTAGAGAGAGTGCCTCCACGCTTCTGTAGTTGTCGCTGCCCTTTGTGTTTCGCTGAGTTTTGTTTTTAAGTGGCTGGAAAGGAGCCCTTAAGTTCCCAACAAACCACCAGGACGAAGAGCGACACTATAAACAGGTGTCTCTCCCTTTTGTCATCCCTGCTGGCTAAGTGCCTGGCAGGTCAGGACTCCAGCTGGAAGGCGACGCAGGTGTGTGTGACCGGAGGTCAGGGGCTGGCCATGGGCGGTGCCACCCCCTCCTCTGCACCCACCCGGGGACCTACGGAGACTTTTTACTGGCAAGAGGCACAAGAGGAGAAGTCGCGGTTAGGCCAACCCTCGGCGCCACCGGGCCTGTCGGAGGAGATGCACGGAAGACAAGGCCGGGCCCGGTTCCGCGAGAGAACCGTGGACTCACACGCACAGCAGGCGTCGACCGCGCCCGCCGGCCAGCACCCCGTCCTGCCTCACGGGGCGGTGCCGCCGTCCTCCCTGGCCCCTCCTGGCCCCCCACCCCACTGCACCGCAGAGACTGGGAACCACCCCGTCCACGCTCACCTCTGATGTTTTTCACTTGGCCCTGGGTGATCGAATCGAAATCGATCTCCATCAGCGATCGCAGGAAGTTGGGGTCGGACATCATGCCCTTGGCGGCTTTCCAGCTGAGCTCCTTGTGCCCCTTCATGATGAGGATGCACTCGCACACCGTCTGCACCTGCTTCGGGGGCTTGGCGAAGGACCTGCGGGAAACGGGGTGCAGGTCGGACGCGAGGTGTGGCCAGGATCCTGCCCAGACGAGAGTTTCGGAAAGCGTGGCCCAGCCCGGAGTCCTGCCTGGGAGGAACAGGGAGCCACGTCCCGACACAGACCTGGGCTCCGGGGGGAGCTTCTCTGAGGGCAGGCGCCAGGGTCTGATCTGTCAGGTGCCAGACTCAGCTGGGAGACTGACCAGGCAACAGAGTCTTCCGGATCATTAAAGGATCATTAAAATGCAAACCCAGGCCACCCCCAAACCCATGAATGGGCAGTCAGTGCAGCCTGAAAATCTACATTTTTAATTATGCCCCGGGGTGATTCCTCAGACCGAAGGACAGCCACTGTCACCACTGCCACCACCGACAGCATCTCCCTATTTCCCATTTACCAGATGCAGAAGCCTGCGCAGTGCTCGGCGGCCTGTGTCCACGTGGCCTGCGGGGTCCTTTCAGGCTATGCAACCCCTTAAATGTTCTCCTGGTCTTTGATGAGACTAGACTGTCACTCTGCTGCCCCTACATGCACATGTCCAGTGCCCTCAACCCTCCGGGGACTGGAAGCCCAAAAGGAACAGGAGAAGGCACGGCAGCGTGGGCGCAAAGACCCACGGAGGACGGGTCACCCATCAGCCGTGGGCGCAAAGACCCACGAAGGACGGGTCACCCGTCAGCCGTGGGCGCAAAGACCCACGAAGGACGGGTCACCCGTCAGCTGTGGGCGCAAAGACCCACGAAGGACGGGTCACCCGTCAGCTGTGGCCAGTGGGACCCACGAAGGACGGGTCACCCGTCAGCTGTGGCCAGTGG